ATTCGTCTTTTTGGGCAACTGACCTCATAATCTTGAAAAATGGTAGGCATTTATTTGCTAACTTCGATATGAACCGATAGAGGGCTGCCACCCTTCCAGTCAGCCTCTGTATATCTTTCACTGATTTTGGCTGTCCCATCTCGGCAATTGCTCTGATCTTCTTTGGATTGACCTCAATCCCTCTTCGGGACACCATGAAACCTAGAAACTTTCCAAACTCCACGCCCAAAATGCATTTGGCTGGATTTAACCGTATCCTGTTCGTTCTGAGGTTGTTGAAAGTTTCGTCGAGATCAGCTAGATGGTCTTTTGCTTTTAGGCTATTTACCACAATGTCGTCGACATAAACTTCCAGATTCCTGCCGATCTAAGCTCGGAAGACGATGGTCATCATTTTCTGATAAGTAGCGCCTGCGTTCTTTAAGCCAAACGGCATCATGACATAGCAATAAATTTCATCACCAGTATAGAACGAGGTTTTCTCTTCGTCTTCTGGAGCCATCGGCACCTGGTGATAGCCAAAATATGCATCCAAGAGACTTAACCTCTCATTACCTGAAGCCGCTTCAACTAATTTGTCAATATTCGGCATCGGATAGCAATCCTTGGGGTAGGCTTGGTTAAGATTTGTGTAATCGATGCACATTCGCCATTTACCGTTTGCCTTCTTCACCAGGACAGAGTTAGCCACCCATTCGCAGTAATCAACTTTCCTAAACGAAACCAGCTTGTAGAAGTTTCTCTACCTTGTCTTTAATAGCCTGAAGCCTCTCCCCCCCGAAGAGACGTTGCTTCTGGGCCACTGGTTTCTTCAATGGATTGGTGTTGAGCTTATGTTGAGATATTGAATTTGGAATTCCTAGCATGTCTGCCAAAGTCCACGCAAATACATCATTGTTAGCTCGGAGAAAAGCTATTAGCTCTGCTCTTTCCTCTGGGTTCAATCGAGTTCCAATTTGTGTCTTTCTGCTCGGATCTCTGTCATCAATGAGCACTTCTTCGACATCTTCAACTGGAGCAGCTCTAATTTCATCTTCCGGTCGATTATCTACGATCTCAACACTCATAACTTGCTGATTATCAGGAATTCGCTGGGGAATGGCCTCGGGTGTCTGATCTTTGCCCTTCGTAGGTTGTGTTATCGAGGTGATATAACAATGTCTGGCCACCTCTTGATTACCTCGCAGTGTTGCTATTCCCATAGGAGTTGAGAACTTCATGCAGAGGTGAGATTGGGAAACCACAGCTCGGATTTTAGTCAGTGTGGGTCGGCCAATAACAACGTTGAAAGAGAACGCCATCTTGACGACGAGGAACCGGACTAAAGGAGTCACATAGGTCCGGCCACTCCCAAAAGCAACATGGAGGGTAATAACTCCTTCTACCTAAACAGGCTAGTTGTTGAAACCATAAATGGGACCATCATATTTCTGCAACAATGCTGGATCCAGTTCAAGACTCTCGAAATAGTGGAAGTACATGACGTCTGGTGCACTCCCGGTGTCAACGAGGACACGCTGTACTTCACAGTTGTTAATCATGACAGATGTGACCAAAGGATCATTGTGGGGTGTAACAACTGTGTCGAAATCAACAAATGTGAAAGTAATGGGTTGATTCTTCCAATCAGCGTCGTCAAACTTCCATTTTTGAGCTCGGTTTTGATGCTTAACCTCTCTAACATACAGCTTTCGCTGTTTAGAGCTCAGTCCACCTGCTTCCAGGCCTTCCGTAATCATGTGTATGATTCTAGCTGGTGGTGGGAGCTGAGGTGGAACTTGCTGATATCCCACACCTTACCTATTTGGGGGATTGCAGACTCCTTAAGGTTGTGGCCTCTGTTCTTTAACAAATCTCGACTGTTCAGCCCTCGGAATGTACTCGTTCAACATTCCCTTCTAAGCTAGATTTTCCAGTTCGGACCTTAAACTGTTGCACTGCTCTGTAGTATGACTGTGATCTTGATGAAAATCACAATATCTGGTATGATCTCGGCTAGCAGCAGTAGTCTTCATTGGGCCAAGACGCCTTAAATCCATCTTATTCTTGATCTGCATAAAAATCTGTGACCTCGGCAAATTAAAAGGAGTCCAATTAACTGGAGTTTTACCTGCAGGTTGTTGCGGGAGTGTAGAGTTCAGCCCTCCGAATCTCGGTGTAAAGGTCGGCATCGGACCTCGGTTCTGTACCATCCTCATCCTTTTCTTGCTCAGATTGTCATCTCTCCATTCTGGGTTTTGGTTCTTAGAGGGAGTTGGGTTCTGCGCCAGGGCGTATTCCTCGACAGTTATAAATTTTAAAGACCTATCATTCACCTCGCTAAAGGTGGTGGCAGGATGTTTGATCAAACTATCTGTGAACCTGTCATGTTTAAGACCAGAGATCACAGCTGCAATCCCCACAGCTTGGTCGAAGGAACTAACCTCCAATACCGCATCATTGAATATGCTCATATAGTTCTTTAAAGATTCTCCATCCCTCTGTTTAACTCGCATCAACTTAGAAGTAGTTTTCCTGATCAACCTTCTACTGGAAAACTTAGTGGCAAAGGTAGATGCCATTTCTGTATAAGAGCTAATTGACCTTGGAGGTAGATTGTAATACCAAGTTCGAGCATTACCTCGGAAAGTAGAGGGAAAAATCTTGCACATCAACGCGTCAGAGGCATTCTGAGCTTGCATGCAAGAGTAGAAAGCATGCAGGTGATCATCGGGATCCTTCATCCCATCATAAGTTTCGAGCTGAGGAATTTTGAAGCCAGCAGGGTAAGGTTCCAATGTGATGTTGGTGTTCAGAGGATGAGCTATGGAGTCAGCAGCATGGTGTGGAGGTGGGGCACCTCGCTGATCAGCTACTAGCTTTTCTAGGCTGTCTAGACGTCTAGTGACATCATCAGGAAGGGGTTGCTGAACTGGTGCTATGTGAGATTGACCCTGAGATTCACTAAGAGCAGGAGCATGCTGAACTGGTTGAGGATTCTGTTGTGGAGCTGGTGGTTGTGGAGCAGGGTTTAGTAAATTAATGAGGGGATCACCAGGGTTGTTTCTAGCTAAGAGCTGAGCCAATATTAGCTGAAAGACACCAAACTGCTGTAGCATGGCAACAATCTGAGTTGCAACTATGTCTTGGTTGGCAGTGGAAGTTGAGTTGTGAGGTGAGGCGTGAGGTTGGTTTTCATCTCCTCCTTCTGCATGATCAACAGAAGGGAACATAGTTGGGACCTGAGGTGGAAGCTGAGGAGGCTGAGGTGGGAGTGGAGGTGGGATCAGAGGTGGAAGGTTGTTGGGGGGTTGACCTTGCCCAAAAGGCAGAGATGAATTGTCAGCTCGGACTAATCGAGTGTGAACCATGATGAAAGAGCAACAAGAAAGCTTTCAGTTCGATTTCCCACAGACGGCGCTAAATATAATTGCACCAAACCAGAAGTCCTTCAGTCCGCGTTTGCACTCCGGGATGACCTGCAAAACCCCGAGGTGGAACTCGGGGTAGACACTCCAATGCTTAAGTCAGCAATAATCGAGGCTACCTTTAGGGCAGAGATAAAAAGAGCTTAAGGTTGGTTTCAATTACCTTTTGACGTGGCTCGTGGGGGGTATTTATAGGATCCAATGAAGAACCCACGTGGCATGCCAAGCAAGATATTCGGGATCTGATGTGTATCTCCAGACGGTTATTTCGGGACCGGGAAATTGAGAGATATTCAGATGCAAGGATGTCTAAAATAACTGTTGTGCAGCTCATCATAAGGAATTAGGTGCGGGCATGCTCATTGTCGCTGTCATGCAGCTATTTGAGCGGGAAGCTTTGGATTTATCCTTCACTTCAGTCATAAAGGAATTATTGTAGCAGTCCGAGGCTTGGCACCTCGGACTTGTCCTTACACGAACCCAAGGTAAAAACGATTTGACCTCCGATTTGATTTTGAAAACAATGATCTAGAGATCAATTCAAGTCCAAACAAATCAAACTGAACAAAAACTAGGGATTTTTAGGTTTTTCTCTTTTTTTCCTTTTTTTTGTTTTGTTCAATAGAGTTCCCAACAGCAAAAGGAAATCAAAGACAAATCTCAAGCAAATTTCACATGCAAACTAATAACCAATAATAATGAAAAACAACTTCGATATTCTCAGATTAACATGATCATTTACAAAAATGTAGCTAACAACAAAACAAAACATAAATATGCTTTTAAGAAAAATCAAACAGCAGAACTTTGGGTGGCCGATCGAAGTCCGATCCAGGGAATCCCACCCACGAGATTAGGTCCGGATCATTCCCCTCACTACCGCCCCAAAATTCCTCTGTTTAAGAGAATACCAACAGAAAAGGGAGCAACAAGTGACCAAAAACTAGAAGAGGCCGGCGATTGAGAGGAGAAGAGGAACATCCCAGGAGCTCATTTGGCTGCTGTGAGATGAAAAAGTGCCCTGTGGTTGCTACGGGGCAAAGGCAAACAGATCTGTAGATGGATTTCGAGGGACGTCGTGCGTTGTTATGATGAAAGATGAAGATGAAGGAATGCCTAGAGAAAGAAAACCAAGAATTAGAAGGAAAAAGAAGTTGTCTGAGCTTCAGTGATGGAGAGGGAAAAGAAAATGGTTTCTGAAGATGAAGGGGTTCTTTGGTGAGCGGCAGTTGAAGTTATGGGAGGTTTCGGGGAAAAGGATCGAGAATGATCTCCTCGTTTTTTTCCTTTTTGGTCCGCCGCCCTTTTTGGTTCACTCTTCTTTTAAGAGGAAGGAAACTAGGGATTTTTATTGTTGGGTTTGAGTTTTAATGGGCTGGTTTGTGAAATTGGGTTAAGCCTTAAGTTAAATGGCTAGTGGGCTCAACATTTGCATTTGGGTTAGATTTGTTGGTTTATCTTGATGAATTTCACTCCAGCTTTATAATTTCTTCAATTGAGTCCTTTTCTTATTCCTTTCTTAAATTTCTTCACAAAAATTTTTCCACTTACACATAGAACCTAAAATGAAATAAAATAAATTAGTTTAACAAATAGAGAATTTTCAAATTTTGTATTTTGTTTTTTCACATTTTTAATTTTTATGATTTGTTGACTAATTTTAAATTTTTATATATTTTTTTATGAAAAGTCTAAATAAACCAAATGAAAAATTGGGTTATGACACTAGCACAGCTTCTAGATTCATCCCCACTTATGACACACAACTTTAGGGTTTATTCCAAGCGTGTCTGCTATGCTCTATGCAAACACATCTTTATGGTCTCTTAAACATTCCTCCAAACATGTGGTAACTTAGGATCTATATCAACTTTGATATCCATTGTCTTCTCAAGTTTCTCTGAGTTAAATATCCCAAGTTTCATACAATCAATAGGTTATGTATGCTATTTATTTTAACTTCCACTTATATCTTTCTAGTTGTACAAAGATGCATATCGCACTAGTTTCTTAAACCTTTGTGGATTTTCCTATTGCCATTCCAATTTCTTTTGGTGTGGGTAATTGCATCATCATATGCTATGTAGAAACCACAGCTTACAAAGCATTCAAGCCTGGTCTTCTTAAGATTGCATTAAAAGAGCATGGCATATCAACATAGCTTTTCCAAATAATCTTCCTTAGTGGTGCATGTAGTTGGCATCATTACACGAGATTTATATTCCTCTATGTTGTGCACAATTGGTGCTCTTGCATTGGATTTTACTTTAACTTGTGATCTTCTATCTCATAGCTCTTGTTAGACCTATACATCTTGTAATAAATTCCTATGCTTAGAGTTTTTTTAGCTTAAGTGGCTTCCTCCCACAAGTTTTTCAAGAAAAAGGTTAGTTTTCTTTTAAACACAATAGCTTGTATAATTGTTAATATTCAAAATTAGAAAATTATTTAAAAGAGTAAATATACTTATATGGAATCATAGCTTTCTTTTAAGATTTATGCATGTAAGATTTTGAGATGTTTGTCTTGCCTTGCTAATGCAGAATTTGATGATCCTTTGTCTTCATCGTTTGTTATGGTCAAATGTGATTAAAATAAAGCTTCTTAAATAATGGATGTGGTAGTGTTCTACACCTCTTCGCATAACATTTTACAATGATTGCATGCTTCATGGATTTCTATGTGTGTCAACATTTTAAGTGCTTTTTGACAGAGTGCTTGCTCTTTTGTTTATCCAATTATTATAATGCTATGTGGATCTTTGAGTCATGTCATAATTAGGTTACTGGATTTTAATATCCAACACATTCTTGCGTGTGGTAGATGTTTGCCTATACATCTTTTGCAAGCGCATGTTTATTTATTAGGGGCATCATGACTTTAAATTAGAAAGTCTTACAAATACATACTCTTTTGTGGTAGCTAATTGTCCACGCATTATATCATCTTAAGATTTTCTTTTACACAGGTTCATAATAGAAACAAGTGATATAGATTTTGCTATTTCAATGTCTTTATTACTTTAGAGACATGAGAGAATTGTTAGTGCCTTCAAGATCATAAGTGATTTTAATTGATATATGAAAATATTTGTTTAAATTTGTAAAAGAGATATGGAACTTATGTGGTAAGTTATTGATTCATTCTTGCATAGCTTTTTGTTGTATGATGTGGTGTTGTGCAAACAGTGGTGCTTTAGGAATTCCAACAATCAACACATGTTTTCTTCCATTAAGCTTAGGCTCTTCATAGCTTTTTCTTCAAGGAAAAATGGATCAAAAGTTGCACCATTCCCAGAATCGAACCATACATTAGCAAATTCAAAGGTTTTTTTGCCGATGAACATATTCACACATAGCTTTTAGGCTGTCAATAGTGATGTTTTCTTTTGATGTTTAAGGCTAGAAAAGATCTAATGATCAAAGGATTCTTGGTGATCTTCACTTACAGTTTTCCTCTTGTAGTTTTGATATTTTTCGATACCTCTTATGCTTCTTTAATGTCCTCCTAACAACTTTATTGGAAGTTGTAGGAGACCATTTGTGTAAAAGAGTGTCAGAAGCTCTATAGACCATCATTGTCATCTTGAATCTTTACACATGTTCCACCAGATCCTATGTTTCATATTATTCTGCCAACTACGAAGCTTTGAAGTTTAAGGCATAGGTTCTTTGATAAATTTGTCAGCAAAAACTTTTTCCACCCAAGCTGTGTATGTTGCCTCTAGATACCTTTATCAAATTGCCTTTACCTTTCCATATACCAACACTACACATCTATTTTTATATATATTATCATTACAAAACCTACATGCTTCTGCTTATTAGTTGTTCTTACATAGAGGTTATGCCATAGATCTATGGTACAACTATTCCTGCATTCATATGAGAGTTAGTCATCATATTTTGATCATTAAAATTATGCTTGGTGAAGGTAAGGGATGGCTATAGATTTGTATCAATGGTTGGCTCTATTGGTCATAGCTTCACTACTTTCTCATATTGAATCCTATGTTTCCCAAAAAAGCTGTGAGCCCTCCTAGTTAAAGGCGGTGAAATCCTCTATGACTCCTCTTATCTTTGATGCACCCATCTTGAACCATATCTTGCTCAATCCTCTTGACTTGTGACGTCAATGGTAGATCTCTTGGCATTGCTTCTTTTAAATATTTAAAAACTAATTATATAATAAGTTCTTAAATTTAAGCATCAACATTTAATAGAGTGAATTTGTAAACTTAAAATTGAGTTTTTTATTTTAGAATACAAGTTAATGCAACTTTAAAGACAATAAGAAACACGCTCATTTAGCAGAAAGGCCATTGTGTTAATTACACAAACACCTTACTCCAACTCCTTTGAAGTCGTGAAGTGAGGTGTTAGGGGCATTATCTATACCATATTTGACAATTTTCTTGATGATGCAACGTGCCCCTAATGGAGATCCAATGGCCACAATTTTTTTATACAATTGGGAATTTAAAAGATGATCAATAGCCATGATTTTGTGTGGTGTAATCCAAAGTAAAGAGAAATTTTGGTGTAATGAATTTCTACCACATGGTAGAAATGAAAGGGAGAAGGTAAGGTTCCACAAAATCAAGGAGTTTGTTGATATGGTGTAGAATTGTTCAACTTTACTAAGAAAAATCAACAACGGTTATAACAGACCTAATTCTAGAGATTTTTGACAACTAGAATTTTGTTTCTGGGAACTAAAAGACACGTGGGAAAAATCTATTTTGTAAGGAAGGATTCAAAACTGTTGAGATTCCTTGGATTTGGTCAAGCACAATAATAAGGGAGTTGGATAAAGTCAAGATCAGATTTAATTTCTAACAATCAGTTTCAATTATGAAGGCCCATAAATACAATACTTCAACACTATTTTCAAGAGGCCTACGCTTCTCAACAACATATACATTTCAATATGTCTTAGCTTAACACTAGTTTAATTCATAGATAACTCATACAACAACTTTGCAACTTTCTTGTTAGTTTATAAGGGGTTCAACTCCCTCAACAAGTTCTTTGTTTTTTGTTGCTTTAGGTTAAATAAGCTTTAACAATTAGATTTAATATAATTGGTCTTCTTTTACCAACACACTTTACATTTTTGTCTAATTGTCTAGCTTTAGTTTTTGCTTTATTAGTGAATTTAT